ACACAGGCAAGGTCAAATGCTTTTTTCCCAATCCCTTTCTCCACTCCACCCTCTGACAGAGATGTTGCAAAGGTTTTTCTCATGTCTCAGTCCCTTTTCTCTGAAATTGTTTCTGCTTTTCATCTGTTCTCTGCTTTCATGTTGCTATCTTTCCCATTCCCTCCCAAAAAGCTGGGCTCTTACTTCCTGCTGCCTCTTAGCTGGTTGAGGACCAGGAAAGATGGGAGTTTGGAATGGGACACCAGTTCCTTGAGCTTGTCAGTGTAATTGTGTTTGATTGATGGAGATTTAACATTTAGTGTTATAAAAAGAGAAATGAACAAAATGAAAAAAAAAAAAAAAGAAAAAATTGTATTTCTTCAACTTGTTTGTATATATTACAAGAACTACATGAGATGTCTGGTAATGTCCAAGCAGAGGAACAAAAACTTAGATTTAATATATGGCCCCATACTTGCTAGCAGATTTCTAACCCTTTTCGGATGACTGAAAGGAGGGGCGAAGGCAAGTCTTTCTGAAAGGAACTGGACAGGGGAAGTGCAGCCACCCCAAGCCACATGAACTCCATGGATGATTGTAGCATGTTGCTTGGAGCGTGTGCCTGGTCAGATGGAAAACGAAGCAAACGCCTGTCTCTGAACGGCTGGGAAGGGCAACATGGGATGCTCCAGCCGACACCTGTATCTTGGCAGTTGTGTTCATTTTTGTTTGTCTGCAGCCCCGTAGCTTGGGGGCATGTTGCTCAGTGATGCACCCCCCTCCTCTCCCCACTGCTTTCTTCTCCAGTGAAGTTGTGTCGCCCCATGCTAGCACCGAGTGCATGTTAACGTGCCATTCATGAAGATTTCATTGGTGACATGCATTGTGTCAAGAGTTAGTCTTTGTCCGCACATCTTTCTCACGCCACTGACTGTTCACCACTTGGGCAGATCTCTCGTGTAGTGCTGCTTGCCCCACTTTTGGTCAAAGTATATCCAAACCCCACCAGCTCTTCTTAGCTCCAGGTGCATCCAGACCATGCCCCCAGGCCACCTGTCTAAGCAACCCCATTTTGAAAGTCCAAGCACACAGCATGGACAAAGTCACCGTCAATAGCCGCATGGGCTCCAGACTGAGTGGTAGCTACACATCTGGAAGGAATTTGGGGGAGCAGCAGTGAGTCCCAATGATACAAGAGCTTTTGGGGAAGAAGATCTGGGAAATCAGAGGAGTTATGCTAGAGTCCTTCACAGCCCCACCGCCAGGTGATGTTTCAGCTCAATCTTTGTGCAGTGTTTCATCGCTTCGCCCTTTCCTGATGAGGGAATCTGCAGGCACAGGGAAAAAGCTCTTCTCCTCCCAACCCCTCTCACACCTCTGCTTCCTCTCCTCCAAGCACACTGACCTGCAGCCCAAATGCTGATGGTGCTTGATGTGACATAGCAAGTGACACAGAGGATGGCTGACCAAGACAGTCCTACAGAGGTGGTGCTAGAGGAGTGAGCAGTTCTCT